TCGGTATGGCGGTAGCTCGTTCAGAAGATCGTCAGGAAGAATGTCTTGGAACTCCTTCAATAATTCCTTGATCTTTTCCGGAGGTTCCGAGGTCTTTTCCTTGTCGTTCTCCGCCTCTGTTGCTATCGCTAGGAACCCGGTATCGGTTCGCTTCACGTCCTTCTCGAATCGTGCGAGTGTCTCCACTGGGATATCTCCTGTATCGTCCCAGTTGGGTAGCTATACTCTCCGTTCATTGTTGTAGATGCTTGCGGTGCGGTTCACCCAGTTGATCTCGGGGTTGAATCTTTTTAGGAAGTCTCGCCCGAAGATCAAGTCAAGCCCTTTGATGTTGGTGATGGGAAGTGCAGGTCTCCAGCGCAGTGGTCCGATTTGTAGGTGTAGCACTGCTTCGCCGTGTACTAGTAACTTGCTTCCGTCCACCATCGTTGCGGAGAATCCTGAAGGCTTGTACTCTTTCCGAAGTCGGTCGATTACTGCCTTGTCGCAGACGGTGTGTGATGCTCTGCTGTCCACGAGTGCTTGGAGGCGTCGTCCTTTGCAGATGACCTTGAGCACGAGGGGCATGCGTTGCTCGGAGTACCCAAAGATGGTCTCATTGATTGGGTCATAGGGTACATCCCAATATTCCGTACACACATTTGTGTTGCTATCTACTCCTGAGCTGGCACCTGGCCGAGGCTGCTTGGAGAACGGCTCTTCTCCAGGGCCCGGAGTTTCCTTGGCGACTGTGCGCGTCACTGATGCCGAAGAACTGGATGCATCCGGAGGAGGAGTTCGGGGTTTGTGCAGCTTTTTGTAGACCCCCAGCTTCCTCTTGAGCTGCTTCAGCTCCACTGACGTCTTCCCTGGGGAACGGGTAGTCGTTGTGGGCTGGTGTCGGGAGAGGACGTTGACTCCGTGGAAAGGTCTCTTCTTTCCACACTCCTTAATTTTTTCCCCAGGTTGTCCGGTACCGGTGTAATCTCCACAGCTGTCTGCTTCTTTTGGAGTCCCTCCCGTATTTTCTCCAAGGCTCTAGCCCCTCGAAAAAAATAAGTTTTCATTCAAGCATCTTTATAAGATAACTTTAACGAATCCTTATAATTTCTTGGGTCTTCAAGGAGTTTCCCCGTCTCGGCAGAGTCTTTTTTCGCGGAGTCGTATTTTTCCTCGGCGATTTTCCCTGGCGAAGACTGGTCGTGGGGTAGAGATTTTCCCCCATCATTTCCTCCTTCTCGCGTCGAATCAGCTTCGTCAAAGTTGATTTTCCCGGAATCCTGCGGCCGCTTCCGGATCTTTTTATTTTCGCCAGCTAGATCCGCAATCATTGGCGACTCCCGTTTTTTGTCTTCTGATTGGCCGAAGGAATTCCGCCACTGTTGCGTGCCTGATACTCTGCGCATGCGGTTTTCATTATGTTGCAGTCGAAGATTCGATGACCCGGCCCCCCGCAAAAATCACACGTGTAGTTGGTGTATTTCGGACGTGGCCGCCCCTCGAACCTGTCGACTTCTATCGGGTCGGCGAACGTGGGGTGAGCCGAGCGGTCGCCCTGTCGCGTACTGCCGACGTGCGTCCGTCGTGTCCCGGCGTTGACCATGTCGAAGCGCTCCGCTGCCGAAACGACGTCACTGTAGCTCGCGTAGTTTGACGCTGCCACTTGTTGTTTGACTTTGGTCTTCAGCCCGGCGAGGTACGATTGTACTTTTTCCCCTTCGGTCACGTCGGGAATTCGGTTATAAAATTCCTCCATCTATTGTGTGTACTGCGCTACACTCCCGAACTGTCGGTGTCGATGAATTTTTTCCCGGGCAAGGAAACTGGAATTTATCGGCTCGAATCGTTTCAGCAGGTCGGCGCGGATCTGCAGGCGTGCACAAGGAGCTGCGGGCCGCAGGAGCCGGGTGGGTGTGTCGAGGCCGGGCTGGCGCTAAGAGGGGCCGGGCAGCGCTGGGAGGGGCCGAGCGGGTGCTAGGAGGGGTTGGCCGGGCGGACGCTAGGAGGGGCCGGGCGCTAGGTGTGAGCCGGGCGGGCGGTGTGGAACGGGCGGGCGCAACAGGCCGGTCGGGCGCTAGAAGAGGCCGGACGGGCGCTTGGAGGGGCGGGCTAGGAGCGAGCTCGACAGTCAGTGGGCCGGCCGGGAGCGGGCGCGACGGCCAGGGATCCGCCTAGGAGTGGGCGCGACGGCCAGGGGGCCAGCTAGGAGCAGGCACGAACGGCTAGAGGGCCGGCTAGGAGCGGGCGCGTATGGCCAGGGGGCCGGCTAGGAGCGGGCGCGACGGCCAGTGGGGCCAGCTAGGGGCGGGCGCGAACGGCCAGGGGGCCGGCTAGGAGCGGGCGCGAACGGCCAGCGGGCCGGCTAGGGGCGGACGCGACGGCCAGGGGGCCGGCTAGGGGCGGACGCGACGGCCGAGGGGCCAGCTAGGGGCGGACGCGACGGCCAGGGGGGCGGCTAGGGGCGGATGCGACAGCCAGGGGGGCAGCTAGGGGCGGACGCGACGGCCAGGGGGCCGACTAGGGGCGGACGCGATGGCCAGGGGGCCGGCTAGGGGGGGACGCGACGGCCAAGAGGCCAGCTAGGGGCGGACGCGACGGCCAGGGGGCCGACTAGGGGCGGACGCGACGGCCAGGGGGGCCAGCTGAGGGCGGACGCGACGGCCAGGGGGCCGACTAGGAGCGGACGCGACGGCCACGGGGCCAGCTTGGGGCGGACGCGACGGCCAGGGGGCCGGCTAGGGGTGGACGCGACGGCCAGGGGGCCAGCTAGGGGCGGACGCGACGGCCAGGGGGCCGACTAGGGGCGGGCGCGACGGCCAGGGGGTCAGCTGAGGGCGGACGCGACAGCCAGGGGGCCAGCTAGGGGCGGACGCGACGGCCAGGTGGCCAGCTAGGTGCGGACGCGACGGCCAGGGGTCCAGCTAGGGGCGGGCGAGAGATTAGGGAGCGGGCGGAAGCGGGCGGGTGAACCTAACCTACTCTCGATACCATGATACAAAGGAAGAATGATTGACTAGTGTGAGAAACCTAGAACATATACCTGTTTGGGTTGTACTCACTAGAAGCACACACCTCGGCTAGCCTATAACTTATACATATTGCGTATGTATAAGTTGACAGTAACACCAGAATATGTATTACAGCCTTGCAATACTTAAAGACTTAACCAAGGATCTTTGCTGGAATGGTAGACTAGTAAGACAGCGGAAGTCTTAGAACTTGTAAAATATTGACCATAATTTACTGAAGAACAAGTTAACAATTGAAGTTGTACAAGCTGTTGTGATAATTGAAGTTTTGCATTCCTGCAAGTTCTGTTTTTGGTGTAGCTCGCAGTATCGCGTTTCTCGGTAAGGAAACAGGTCCGAGTGCTGATGTCAGCAAAGCATCGCGTCTCTAGTGAATGACGTCAGCATACCGCTTCAGTTAACGAGTCGTTTCAGTCATGCGAACAGTCGCTCGCGACCCTATAGAATGACGAATAGGGCGCATAGCGCGATAGTGACGAACAGGTACATTAGCGAATAGGTACTTTCCCTAGAGATATAAATCCTTGTAATGCCTTTCTATTATTAACCTTGACTTTACACAGAATTATGTGCTCAGGTAACTCAACCTTCGACTACCCACAAGTTCATGTGCTCAGGTTCACTCCTATAAGACTTCCGCTGTCTTACTAGTCTACCATTCCAGCAAAGATCCTTGGTTAAGTACTCGTGTTAGCAGATTCTATACTTCGTTTTCTGCAACATCAGACGATTTTATTTCACAAGCTGTATTTATATCGGCTAGAAGTACCTATTCGGTGATGTACCTGTTCGAGCTATTTGCGCTATGCCTTCTAACCGCTACTGAAAAGAGCGCGACTGTTCGCGTGACTGAAACGACTTTCTGACGTAATCATCCAGACGAGCGCTATTTGCTGACGTCATTCTACGGATGCTAACTACATTGTAACTCGACTATATCTATTGTGACTACTTACAAAAATGCTTAAGTAAGATTTTATCACAACACTACACACCCTAAAAAATCGCCAAGGTTCAACCCTATCATCTGAGCTCTGAAAATTTTCAGTCCTGATCATTCGGCCGTCGAAAGATTTTACCCTGAAAAAAGTTGCAACTTCCAAAATCCGACCCTGAAAAACGGGGGCTCCTGATGGGGGCACCCTAAGCCAACAGCCCATCAAAATCCAATCTGGCCTAGCACATTCCAGATTGCATCTTTTGGTTTCTTTTGGTTTGTTCTGTGCAGTGTTCTGTACAGTTGATGTCCACCCTTATCGCTGCTCAGCCCGTCGCCCAATCAGAACCACGTCCCTAAACCCCCGATATACGGGCAATGTGAGATCCTTTTGAGTCACTTATGATTGCGTCTGCGACCAGCATATAGCAAGGGACAAGTCGTTGACGACGAGGTTTCGTCGCCATGGACCTGTGCACCGCCGTCGCCTGATCGCTTCACAAGAGTCGCACACTGGCAACAAATATCGCCACACAAGCCCCCCCCCACAAATACCCACCCATTTCGCCGTGTGCTCGTGCGAAAGCCTCATTTGCCCGTGGCGAGGGACAGCGAAATACTTGACCGATTGACTCCCCGGCACCCTAAAATCTTGTGCGACTCTGTCGCGCCTCGACTGTATTCCAGGAGGGAGGGGGCTCTCGCTCCCCATGTTCCTGCTGGCGCTCGGAGCCATGATTTGTTCTACACCAAACTGCATGGATCGGGGTCGGGGAGGGTGACGGTGGAGGTACAGTGGCCCCTTGGAAAGGGTGCTTCTTTCGTCGTGTTCCACTAAAAGAAACGTTTCAGCACCGTCCGAGTCGCGGTCGTGTACAGTACCATAGGTGACAGCCGACCGGTGTCGAGCCCGGAATACGCTGACGTGGTTCACGCATGTCATGCCGTTGATATGAGTGGCCTCCATTTAAGAGGCTCGGGTCCATACCTCGCAGCCACAGACCGACCACTTCCAGCACCCCCAGCCCACTAAAGCACGCTACAGTACCTTGCTAGCCGCTGCTGCTGCGCCGACAGAACGCACGGCGCTGCAACCAGCGCTGCCACTTGGTTGAATGCAATCACGTGAGCATGGCTCACGGCGGTTACTTCTTCGTCTTCAAGCACCCTGGTCCCTTTCCGTGGAATGGATTAGTCTTGCCCGTCCTGTCCTCCCGGGGTGTTGGGCGGAGGAGAGTGAATTCAATCGAGAGTCACCTCGAATGCGCACATAGCGCTGCTTGTTTGGGAGGCGCATATTTCGCGAGTTGGCGCATCGCGGCAGGACGGATGAACTTCTCCAATCGTACAGGGCGTTGCAACTGCCGTGCGGAGCCCGACGAGCACTCCCCATTAGTAATAGCCCGTCCGACCCACGTTGTGAGAGCGCTCCGACGAGAATAAGCCGTTCTGTGGGCCAGTGCCACTCCGCGAGGGAGATGACGGATCGTCCAGACGCTCGGAGGGGGTTGGGGAGTCACAATCCAATCGGTTGCGAAACAGACGCCGCATACTCCGGCGTGCAGCAGCGCCGAGATGACCCCGACGGTGGCTGGCGGGACTCGTCCGCAGGCGGCGGGAGTGGATGGCCTGTCGCACTCACCAGCTGTCGCACGTGCTGCTGCGAATCGCCGTGCTGTCGCAGCGTTGAGGAGTGCTGTCGTTTCCCGCCGCCTTTCTTCTGCTTCATGTTTCCGCATCTCTCGCGGACCTTCCCTGTCGCCGATGCCCCCTGCGACTGCGCTAGCGACAGGGAACTCCCTGCGTGCGACTGGGAGAGCGAAAGCACCTGGAAGGGTTGCGACGTCGACAGCGCGGACCTTGGCGCGCGGGGGAACGGTCGCAGGAGCGGGGGAAAGGGCACTGATGGCGCAATTGGCACCGCAGGATTCCGGAAACTCGCGCCGATATTGGAGCACCGTGCGCGGCTGCGGCGCAGCAATCGCGGATATCACGAAACGCCTCATTTTCCTCCGTCGTGGAATTCCGCCTCGACGCCAGCGGACCTGGAAGTGCAACGACGCGTCAGTGCAAGCGGCGGGGCGCGCGAGGCGCAGTTCCTCTTCGCGCTGGAGCTGTTCCAGAGCGACTCGCGCGAACGAATAAACAATCCGATGGTGGGCCTGATAAGCCGCGATGCCATGGAGCATGATGCCACTTTCGCCACCGCCGGCGACGCTGCGTTTGAGCGAGGCTGGAGTGAGGAGGTGTGGCGACACGACCCGATCTTATCCTGCTGTGTTTCCGCCGTCCACTGCCTCACGAGACTCCTCCACGCGACCCTGGTTTCAAGCAATGTGCTACTATCGAAATCGCTGACGCCAGCCTGGTCGTCACGCAAGAGAAGCAAGGAGCAGGCGGAGCGATCGGGCGGATGGCGCTGGCGGAAGGCTGCGCGGCAGGCGGGGGAGGGGAAATACTGTTGCGCAGGGAGGCAAGGATGACTGAAGGCGGAATGAGGCGACAGCATAATGATCGACCGTTACAGGATAGGTTGTTCCAGGATACTAGGGGTTTTCAAGGAAGGGTGTTTGAAGTTCAGGAGGCCAGGGGTTGATGTGAGCTGAGGTAGACGGGGGGAGAACCCTAGCATAACCAGCTTCCGCGATACTGAGAACTCTAGTCATGCAGCTGTTTTGCTGTGCTGTTACACTCCCAATCATTCGAGGTTAGCTTGCAAGTATCACCGTACGCCCTCTCCATGTCCGCACCACGAGCCTAACTAAAGGAGCTCTACGGAAGATGTGCGGTACAGGTGTTGCACACGGAGCTCTATGTTGAAAAGCGGTGAAGCGGCCTTTGAGACAGGTGGCACTATGTAATAGTTCACACGAGCACGTGAAGGCTGAGGGTGAGAGTCGAGGGTGAGAGTCGAGGGTGAGAGTCGAGGGTGAGAGTCGAGGGTGGGAGTCGAGGGTGGGAGTCGAGGGTGGGAGTCGAGGGTGGGAGTCGAGGGTGGGAGTCGAGGGTGGGAGTCGAGGGTGGGAGTCGAGGGTGGGAGTCGAGGGTGGGAGTCGAGGGTGGGAGTCGAGGGTGGGAGTCGAGGGTGGGAGTCGAGGGTGGGAGTCGAGGGTGGGAGTCGAGGGTGGGAGTCGAGGGTGGGAGTCGAGGGTGGGAGTCGAGGGTGGGAGTCGAGGGTGGGAGTCGAGGGTGGGAGTCGAGGGTGGGAGTCGAGGGTGGGAGTCGAGGGTGGGAGTCGAGGGTGGGAGTCGAGGGTGGGAGTCGAGGGTGGGAGTCGAGGGTGGGAGTCGAGGGTGGGAGTCGAGGGTGGGAGTCGAGGGTGGGAGTCGAGGGTGGGAGTCGAGGGTGGGAGTCGAGGGTGGGAGTCGAGGGTGGGAGTCGAGGGTGGGAGTCGAGGGTGGGAGTCGAGGGTGGGAGTCGAGGGTGGGAGTCGAGGGTGGGAGTCGAGGGTGGGGAGGGTGGGAGTCGAGGGTGGGAGTCGAGGGTGGGAGTCGAGGGTGGGAGTCGAGGGTGGGAGTCGAGGGTGGGAGTCGAGGGTGGGAGTCGAGGGTGGGAGTCGAGGGTGGGAGTCGAGGGTGGGAGTCGAGGGTGGGAGTCGAGGGTGGGAGTCGAGGGTGGGAGTCGAGGGTGGGAGTCGAGGGTGGGAGTCGAGGGTGGGAGTCGAGGGTGGGAGTCGAGGGTGGGAGTCGAGGGTGGGAGTCGAGGGTGGGAGTCGAGGGTGGGAGTCGAGGGTGGGAGTCGAGGGTGGGAGTCGAGGGTGAGAGCCGTCCCATTTACTAGTTAAAGGTGCCCACAACACGAATTCAACCCCTCACTACAATCACATCCGCTACAAACCTAAGTCCTCTAATCCCGTTAACGCAGTAGGCGTCAACCAAAAAGGCGACGTCTACTGTGGCACCTGCAGGCAGAGCAGACGACACAGCTTGTGGGTCCACGGGCAGGTGAAGCTTCTGAAGGTCGATGGGCAGGTGAGGCTTCTGCGGGTCAACGGGCAGGTGAGGCTTCTGCGGGTCAACGGGCAGGTGAGGCTTCTGCGGGTCAACGGGCAGGTGAGGCTTCTGCGGGTCAACGGGCAGGTGAGGCTTCTGCGGGTCAACGGGCAGGTGAGGCTTCTGCGGGTCAACGGGCAGGTGAAGCTTCTGAGGGTCGACGGGCAGGTGAAGCTTCTGCACTGCACGCGGTGACCGCTGGCTGCTGCTCTTGTAGCTGCTGCTGCCACCGATTGTGACAGTGCTTGCACTGGGAGTGGCTGGGAGTGCTTGAGCGCAGGTGAAAAACTTGGTGCGAAACTCAGCGCTCTCTCTCACCCCGTCCGCTGCCAACCTGGGGAAAGGGGGGGAAGGATAGGCGAGGGATGGCAGGAAGACAGGGGGAGGGGTGAGAAGGAGAAGAGAGGGGAGAGGCCAAAAGGGCAGAAGATGAGATGGAAGAGAGGAATGGCTGAGAGCCACCAGCAGTGCGTGCAACACAACATTCAGAGGGCTGAAAAACCCTCCACAATCTGCATTGAAAGCACCTCAGAGTCATACTGCAACCCCCACCCCTCTCATGGAAGCCCAGCACCCAACTCACTTGACTCGGATCACTCTTGTGCCGTCCTGCTCCTCCCACGCCGCCACAAACGGACTTCGAACCTCCTCCCCGCACCCACCACCCCTCCCCTCCTCTCCCGCGGCCCCCGCCCCATTCGCCTCCCCTCCTCCCTCTTGCCCCGTGCCACTCCCCACGCACGCCACTAGCGCGTCAAAGCAGGCCGAGATGGCGGCAGCAGCCGCAGGTGAGATGGCGAGGAGCACCGAGAAGCACGGGCGGCCAGACGCCCCGTCAAAGGCAAAGCGTTCAGAAACACTGCTGGGGGGGGGTGAACGGGAAGCATGGGACCGGGACGGAAAAGGGGACACGATGGGGAGTGGGTTAGGGGGGGTTGGACGAGGTGCAGCTGCAGTGATCGCCCGTTGCACAGCAGCAGCCCATGCATGCACCCGAGCACGCACAGCAGCCCATGCTCACTCCACTACACTCCCTAGCATCCTACTCACTCGCACCTCATCTTGATGCGCGCGCCGCACTCCCGCAGGTGCAGCGACCGCCTGTTGAACAACAGCAGCACGCGCGGAGGCCCACTCTCCACCGCCTCACTACCAGCACCAGTTGCACCACCACCACCGCCACCAGTGGCAGCAGTGGCAGGCCATTCCCCTGCCTCCAAAACAGCAGCAGAAGATGGCGCCTGTGGCGTGAACCCACTCGGGTACACACGCGAACTCCTTCCCCTCAAGCTGTACCTCCTGCCTCCTCCCCACCCGCTGCCTCGGCTGCCATTCCCCCCACAGTAGTCTCTACCAGCAGCAGGGGCCCACACGGCCTGCAGCCAGAAGGGGTCGAAGTGCGGGCATGCGATTGTCCTGGGAGCGCCCTCCTTGGCGCGCTGGTCGTGCTGCTGCTGCCACCACCACGGACACACATTGCACTCTGAAACGGTCGCCCTGCTCACATCCACCTCCTCCCCCGTCTCCACCTCCCCTTTCCCCACCCCCTCCTCTCCACACTTCCCATTGCCTCCTCTCTTCTCTTGCTGGTGAGATTTCGCCTCCTTATCATCCTCCTCCTCTTCCTCCTCACCGTCTTCCTCCTCCTCCTCCTCTTCCCCCCCCACCACCTCCCCATCCTCAATCTCCTCCTCCTCTTCCCCCTTCATCTTGGCTGGGCTGGCACCAACAGTCAATATCTGACACGTGGCAGCAGATCCAATCTTCATGGAATGGAAAGCCTGACTCAGCAAGTATGACGTGGCAGAAACCACAGCAGCTGAGGACGCAGCAGCAAGAACTGCAGGAGGAGGAGTTTCGGGGGCGGATACATCTGCCGCTGTGGGTGCTCCTGGGGATGATACCGCTGCTGTTGCTGGTGGAGCAGGTGTCGCTGCTGTTGCTGGCGTTGCTTCTGCTACTGCTTTGGCTGCTGCAGCAGCTCCTGCCTTCACAGCTGCCACTGCTGCAGCCGCTGCTGCATGCCGTGGTGGCGTTTTGCTGCGAGGCGGGGTTGAGGGGGGCTGGAAGAGGGTGGGGTGGCACATCTCCTGCACACAGAGAGGAGATGGAAGGTGGGGAGCGGGAGGGCGCAAGGAAGGGAGGAGGAGTGGATTGAAGGAGCAGGTCCACGTTCCTAGATTCACCAGATCACTGGCTCCATGTGGTCCCATGGTCTAGTGGTTATGACGTCAGACTCTGACTCTGAAAGGCCGAGTTCAATTCTCGGTGGGACCTTTCGTGCTCAGACGCAGTGAGACAGATTGATAGGAGAGATGTGTGGATGGTAGAATTGAGGTTTTAAGATGCAACTGAGCCTACTACAGTATTGCCACATTAAGGGTTTTATGGAGACAACCTTCAGAAAATGCACATTGGAGCATGGAACGGCCATCCGTCCGCATCTTACCATCCCCAGCTTACCAGCAGCAGCATGGCAGAGCACTGCTTGAAGACATCAATGTTCATCCGCACATCCTCCATGGCCCTGCCCACTCAATCACATGCAACAAGAGTCGGCATAGTTGAAAGTGGGGCACCTCTTGACTCAGATTCAACCTCTGCTTGAGCTGAAAGCAGCTGGTCCACATGAGGCCGCAATAAACGATCCCAGTTGACTGAGTTGACTGAGCTCCACTGAGAGTGAATGGAGCCTCACCTGTGCACTTGTTGGCCCAGGCCGCAGTATGCCCCCAGCGACGCCATCTGGTGGGAACGGGAGACCCATGGAGGGGCGACGGAAAGAAGAGGGGAGAGAGTTGAGAGGGAAAGAGAGGAAGCACGAAACAAGCAAGAAGACGAGGGGCAGCGAGCGCAGAGGGGAGGGGCAGCGAGCGCAGAGGGGAGGGGCAGCGAGCGCAGAGGGGAGGCGCATGACGAAGTAAGGGGTCATTCACAAACAATGACCCGGTGTCTAGCCTTGTGTCAAGGCCAGGGTCATTCACAGCTTTGGCCCGGTGTCCAGTTGCCCTCACCTCGCCACCGTCTCCCTAAATGGCCTCGTCGCCTCCACGTTGCCAGCCCGGGTGCCAAACTCCCTCCGCAGCAGGTCGTCTGTCTCCACCCCGCCAGCAGGGGCGGGCGGGACTCTGTCTTGCTCTCACCTCGCCATGTAAATTTGGGAGTGTGTGTGTGTGCGTGCGTGCGTGCATGCGTGCGTGTGTGCATGCGTGCGTGTGTGCATGCGTGCGTGCGTGTGTGCATGCGTGCGTGCGTGTGTGCATGCGTGCGTGCGTGCGTGCGTGCGTGCATGTGTGCGTGCGTGCGTGGATGTGTGCATGCGTGCTTGCGTGTGTGCGTGTGTGCGTGCGTGTGTGTGGTATGTTGCACCTTCATGTTGCCAGCCCTAGTCCCGAGCTCCCTCCTCAGCAGGTCGCACGTGTCCACCACGCCAGCAGGAGCGGGCGGGTGCCTTCCCCAATCTCACCGTGCCGCACACTATTGGCAGTGTGTGTGTGTCGCACCTTCAAGTTACCCGCCCGGGTGCCGAATTCCCGCCTCAACAGGTCGTACGTGTCCACCACGCCAGCCGGGGCGGGCGGCGCCCTGTCCAGGCTGCTGAAGGCCTCTCGGATCCTGGCGTTGTCAAAGCGGCTGATGTTGTGCCCCGCCCATATCTTGCCTGGGGTGAACGGGAGCAGGGAGGGGGGAAGTGGAGAATGGGGAGGGATACCTGATTGATGAAGGCTGTTGAAGAGGTGACGTCACCAGAGAGAAACACAGATGCCCCGGTCCTTCTTTCTTCCCCCCCCTGCCGGTCTAGCAGCCTTCTCTAACCTCTCCGTCTGCTTCTCCACTCGAAAAACGGGCGGCAAAAACGCTTAAGGAAGTCGATTTGTCTCTCCCATCACCGAGCTTCAAACCTCTCCACCGAAACCCACCGTCCATGAGCTCGTGGATCTTATCCGAAACTTCGCGGAAGCTCGGCGCGTTCCGCACTGTGTCGCTCGTGATACCGTTGATCTCCACCGTCCGTCGCGAGATGCGCACGCCCTCGGGCGGCCGCAGGTACGTGGAGTAGCTCGAAGTTTCGTAGAAGCCCGCGATCTCGAGCTCCACGGCGGCGAATTCGAGCATCTCGTGGCGCTCGCCGCGCGCGGCCGGCACGGTGGTCTCGACGTCGTAGAACACTATCGTGCGCCTCACGCGCGAGGCTGAGGGCGAGCCCGCACGGGGCGGAGTGGAGAAAAGAGCCGGTGCTGCCATTTCCGCGAGGTTAAGCGACCAAACGACGGTAGGCGACCAAACGACGGTAGGCGACCAAACGACGGTAGGGTGTCAGAAAGAGGTGAGGAGGGGGAAGCGTCGTTTTGAGAACGAAATTGAACAGGCGACGGGAGGCAGGCGGGGTGCGGCTGGAAGGGGAGGGCGTCTACAGGCATGGCTGCGAGAAAGACGGCCGCGCCTGATACTGTAGATGCGAGCGGATAACCCGCGAATTTGGCGGGGAGCGGGGCGAAGTAGGTTAGGGCGTGGAACATCGGCGTTCGAACGGCGACGACACGGCTTCAGGGTGACGCCAGGCTCGGTTGGTTTGGGCTCGGTCCGGACGGAACACATCACAGAGCAACGCAGGCGGCCTTGCCTTGCGTCATCCATCAAGTCGAACCCAACCCAAGGCCCCAAACAATTCGATGGTTGCTGGTGTCGTTGGAACAACACTGCACTCCTCTGAAACCAGCAGCACCGCGTCGAAATGCCTCATCCACACGGTCAAAACTGGATGGAGCAGTTTGGGTTTCGGCCCCACCGAGCGATTTGGAGGTGTACCCAACATTTTCTGGGTAGCCGCAATTTGCGGCTAAAATGCACATATGATATCTGATGCTTCGCTTTGAAGCTTGCGGTCTGTTCGATAATCATATCGCAGACGCTTACGAGGAGGACAATTTTCATCACTTCCCCCCGCCAAGCGCTAATCTGCAATAACTGCCTGGCTGTGCAAAATTTTTGGCACGAATTCGTTGGCAACTCTTAGCCCATGGCTCCCAGCGGGATTCACGGCGAGTGGGATCAAGAACCGCGAGCTCAGTCGATGGCCCCCGATTCCTCTTGCAGTGAAGTACAGAAGCGGCGATTCAGGATTCATGGAGCAGCAGATGCTCGACTCTTGTTTGAAACTCTTGGCACTCAAGTCGCTTCTTGACGCTACGCCTTGCTACGTCACCATTTCATCTGAAGGCCCTATTGACGCAAGAGTCTTGTCACATTCATCGTGAGGGTTCACGCTGAGCGATCGTTATGGCCCTGCATAATCGAATGGTCGGACAATCGTGGTTCGTTCTGCTGGTGGTCCCTGCGAAAGCATTGGCAGAAGCGAGGCCGCTCTCATATACTACAGCGACGGGTACTTCTACACCAGCGGTAATTTGCTCTCATATATTAGGCTTCTTCCTTCGCGTGCTTTCACCGCTTGAAGGGCTCTCGCCACGTCCGTCGCCGTCAAGCACGGAGAGGCGACTGCGTGTCGTCATGCTTGCGTGTAGAATACCGCCAGAGGCCGGAGCAACGAGCGTGCTCGTCCTGCATGTTTGTACACCTTGCTCGGCCACGATGCTTTGTGCCGCGCAGATCTGTACTCCAGATAAAAATTAATCATCATTCCAAGTCCAGGATGCCGTGGTCGAAACCGTGATTTAAAACCGTTGAATTCGTTTTAGGCTTTGTCAACAGAATCGTCTGTACACCTCTTAAAAATTCCCTTTCCACCCGTGGCGCTGTGGCATGCAGATCACAAGAACAGGACGCCGTGGTGGGGTGCGTTCCTGCTGGTCCTGGGCATCGTGTCCATCGTGATCTTTCTCGTGTCGTGCTGCTGCAACTGCCTCCGCTGCTGCTGCCCTCCGCGCTCAGTCAAGGTGGTTCAACAACAGCAACACCCGTCCCCTGTATAGCTGCTGGCTGCTGCTTCGTTTGCTGTCAAGTGCTGGTTTCGGTGCCTGGGCTTTGAATGAGCATGGGAGGCGTGGAGTGGAGTGGAGTGGAGGGGAGTGGACGGGGGTACGCAATGTCCATGGGTCAGTTATGGCGGGCTTTGAGCTGCGGCATTAGATTGGTTTGACTGGGAGGGGGTGAAATCTGGATTGTTTGGCTAGGTTAGGTTGTTTTGGCTTGGGCTGGGTTGGGTTGGGAGGGTTGGGGTGGGTGAATGGGAAAGGTTATCAAGGGGTATGTGTTCTGCTGTGTTAGGTGGTGTCAAACATATATTGTATGTTTCTGTAGACTATATAGGGTTGTGTCTGTTGGAAATATCTCGAGGACTTAGCGTTTCTGAAGTGTAACACCACACTCGAGGAAGATCGTAACGGGTACGCGAGTCAACGGAGGTTACACGAGGGGCTGGACAAAGAACACGAAAGGACTCGAAGGGTCGCAACCGGAGGTTGCGACTGACCGTTACAACTGCAAGGACGGTAACCGAAGCGACAATCGAGTCGCTGTGCGACTCGATAACCGCTCTTCAACTGTACGGTATTCTACAACTGCTTTACTTTCCTACTTTCTATATATTGCTGTATGCTTGTTCTTTTAATCAATCACTTGTTCTCACATACTAGTACAAGGGTTCAACTACTCAACTTCCGCTGCACTACTCAAAGTCTCCTTTTACAACTGGGACTTAATCTCTGGAAATATCCTAAGGGCATTTTTTCAATCCAACATGGTATCAGAGCTGGTCAGAGACCAAACTCCCAGCAACTACGCTCTATCTACAATCAGCACACCAACGACTTCATTGATTACAAGTCATGGACAGCAAGGACAAGAAAACCTCTACGGGCTCACCCAGTGCCCAAGACACTCAACCCGGCAACTCTGGAATGCACACTTCAGGACTGCAAACCGAGACCGGCGCTGCTCAAGAAACAACAGGAAGAGCACCAGAAATGGTGACCCCATCACCCTCTTCAAGCGTGGACCCGAACCTTATGGAAATGTTCTTCAGCTTCATGTCGCACTTCGACCAGCAGCAGCAGACAAGGACACATGCGCATTCAACACAGAGCAACGGAGGAAACATGGGATTAGCGCCGATGAGCCTCCACAACTCATCGTTCGGGCGACACAATCAAGCGCCTACCTTTGCGCCCTATCACTCTTCACCGGGGACGTTCGAGTTCATGCCGCCCCGTGCCCAACCAACAGCAGCTGCATCACAACAGACACCAAACGAGATATTAAGTCTCAAAGTGCAGTTTTCACACGTGATCAAACTGCAGACATCCTCACCGTTCAACGGACACGACTTCTTTACCTGGAGTTTTGAGTTCGAGCTGCTGATGGAGGCCGCGCACCTCTTGGGATACTTCAACGGGTCCCTGCCATTTCCAAGCAATGGCACTGCGAAAGAGCAAGAAATTTTTACGTATCAGTCGCTGCTGGCGTATACAGTCCTCTTGCGGAACCTGTCACCACAAGAACAGCAAAGCATCAGAACGTATCGGAGCTATGGAAACTTCGTGGAACTCGCATGGCATCACCTCAAGTGTCTCTATCAAGCAAACGACAGCGTGACACAAAGCAGACTCATGCAGCAGCTGGCAACAATACAGATGAAGACCGGGGAAAAGACGATGCAGTATATGAGTCGCTGCCAGACACTCCGCGACCGCTTGCTTCGGTGCGGAGGAACAATCACTGAAGAAAGCTTCGTGACTCTTGTCCTCGCTGGGCTCGGGCCAGAATGGAGAACCACCCGCTCGCTTCTTCGCGCCCACGGACGAATCTCGGAGATGCACCTCTGCGCCGAGCTCCATGCTGCACAATAGGAGATGGACCTGTTTGAAGAAAGACAACCAAGGAAACAGCAACCGTTAGTTTTCTTTACTCAACGCAGGAACGACAACAACTACAACCGACGCGGCAAGCAAGATCAACGCGACAACAGAGGACTCACCATTGTGCCGCTGTTCTGCCACAACTGTCAAACATCCGGACACTCCAAAGTCAACTGCACACGCCCCCAAGCTTATCGTCCAGTAGACCCACAAGTCGCTTCCACTCAAGAAAGTCCGCCAAGGCGTTCCTCCACATCTGCACAAGGCACACCGAACATCATCAACTGCATGGTACACATCGACAACTGCGCACCCGGATCACCACCCACTTATGCTCCAGACGAAGAAGAACTGTCACCGCCGCGCTCACAAGGACTTCAGGTCAACCCAACGTATGCTGCAGTCGCCAGCGCCGAACCCACCGGGCGAAACACTTGGTTCTTGGACAGCCGTTGCGGCCAACATATGTGTTCTTCCGGGCGCTTCGTGCAACGAGAGCAACGTCTCAACCGCGATGTCATCATCACCATCGCCAACAACGAAAACCTGAAAACAAACAGACAAGGATTGGTTCAGTTGCAGTCCATGGAGACAAACGTTAAACTGCAACTCAACAAAGTTCTCATCGTCGGCAATTTGGGATACAACTTACTCAGCGTCAGCCAGTTAATGGCAAAAGGGATTCACCTGGAATGCGATTCGGACTCCAACGAATTTCGCCTTTTTCACGGGAAGGGCGGTCTTTTCATCGGTCGCGCTCTCCTGAAGTCGGGCGTCTTCGTGTTGGATTTCGTCCTTGACCGCGGTACTGCCGACAGCGATGGCATCGTGTCGTTCGCCGCATGGACGCACCCGCCGGATCTTGACCCCGACTTCACCCAAGATGGAATCTGGTACTCCAACACCATACCTGCAGCAGAGAGAACACGAGCGTTAGCAGTCATTCGACAAGAAAGACAAGTACCAGCAAGCGTCCCTTCCTCGACATCACCTGAAGTAACAGCAGCGGGACCCAGCCGAGTACCATCACCAGCAATCCGAGGACCGCCAACCGAAGCAGATCAACTTATGCCCATCACACGAGAAGTCTGTCGAAGTCCTGCCACGGTCGTCGTGTTCTTCTCCAACGCCGACATGTACCAACGCTCGCCCGGCCATCGCGCCCCCGACGACATCTGGCACCAACGCCTCAAACACCCTGCAAACAGCACAGTACTACAAACCATCCAAGCCGAAGTGTTAGAATGAAACGCTCTTCTTACAACGAGCGGCCAAGAACTTCGACGACCACGCGCACGGTGCTTCACGTGCCCCGAAGCACATCTTCCCTACCAACCTTTCCATCACATCACAACCCAAGCGCACCTGCATACGCACCGATGGAAAAAGTTCACAGCGACATCTTAAACATGCCTCGAGACGACTCAGAAGCCGACTTCAACTATGTCATCACGTTCATCGATGCAGCAACAAGATATGTCTGGCACTACAACCTCAAGACACGCGATCAAGCTTTCGAAGCCTTCACGACGTGGCTCCCCATCGCTGAACGAGAATCAGGAACTAAGCTCAAGAGCTTCCAGTCAGACGGCGCACTGGAATACCAGTCACAACGATTCAGGAACTACTTGGCGGAAAGAGGAATTAGACGCCTGGTGTCTCTGCTCTACGCTCACCAGCAGCAGGGGGTCGTAGAAAGAATGAACCGGACCTTGCAGACGACGATGCAGAAGCTGCTCCTGGGGATGAGACTGCCCAACACACTGTGGCCAGAAGCGATGACCCATGCAGTCCACCTGCACAATTTGCTCTCCTCGTCATCACTTCCCAACAATGCATCACCGCACCTGCTGTGGACACGAAAAAGGGGCAGCACAAAAGTACTTCGGGTTTTCGGCTGCATGGTACAATACAGACCCCACACAGCCCGAGCAGGACGCTTCACTCAACGAGCACGGTGGGGACTACACCTCGGCATCGCCAAACATTTCCAAGCATGGAAAGTCCTCGACATACAAGACAAAAATACCGTGGCATCACGTGATGTGATTTTCTACGAGCGACTGACGCTGCAGCATTACCTGGACAACGTCGCCAACACAGACGACCCCACCAACGGCTTCGCGGGCCTTCGGTCCTTCGCCGACGGCTTCGCGGTCCTTCGCCGACAGTGCCGCCGAAGCTGACGCAGCAGAAGAAGACGCACCTGGAGCTTCGGAACCTGCCGGACCACTCCCTTACTGTTCCGTGCCTGTTCCACTCGACGACGACAATCCTCTTGATAGCAACAACCTCGACACCCATTACCACTTCGCTGACCAAGGTTACGTTACACCTCACCCGGTCGACACGAATGTCAGAACGCATCGGCCCAAACTTCTTACCTGATCCAGAAGATGGTGACGAAGCAGCCTATTCCGGGAATGAAAATTCCCCTCGACACACACCCACGGGACTGCAGATACTCGGCTTATGGGTCTCCGTCCAGCACCCGCCGCCGCCGTCTCCGCGTGAGCCAACGACTCTGTCGCAGGCTCTGGGGGGGGAACATAAGGCGAAATGGAAGGAGGCAATGGAAAAGGAACTGAAAGCTCTACAAGACCGAAATACATGGAAGCTGGTACCTACAACGAACATCAACGGGAAGAATGTACTCTCAGGAAAGTGGGTGTACCGCATCAAGACTAATGCGGACGGCTCCATCGAACGATTCAAGGCTTGATGGGTCGTACGAGGTTTCGATCAACGATACGGAACCGACTACACAGAAACATTCGCCCCAGTCTCTCGTCACACCTCCTTGCGCATTCTACTCGCCGTCGCGGCCACGAAGAAACTACCACTGCGCCAGATCGACGTCGCAAACGCCTTCCTGTACGCACCTGTGGACGCCGAGATCTTCGTCGAGCAGCCCCACGGATTCATCGACGACCCCACAAAAGTATGCCAGCTGATAAAATCCCTTTACGGGATCAAGCAAGCTACGCGGCTTTGGCAGCAGCATCTTCACGGTCGCTTCGTCAGAATCGGGTTCCTACAGCTGCCGCACGACCAAGGCATGTACCGACTACAGAAGGAAAGGTGTTTTATCCTACTCATCGTCTACGTCGATGACCTGGCTCTACATCGGCTTCTACTAACGACATCGCCACCTGGTTCGAAGGGGAGCTGAGAAGTGACTTGACACTTACGGTGTCTAACACCGTGACCCAGTACCTGGGTCTGAACGTCGTCGAAGACAAATCAGCGTTCTACCTATCCGCTGGAAAATACGCAGGCGTTGTCGCGAAGAAATTCGGACTAACACCGACTACAGTCACGACTCCCTACCGCTACGGGAACAACAACGACACCTCCGCAAAACTCCCCATGAAGCAAATCCAGGAGTATCAGCAGAAGCTCGGCTGCCTACTATTCGCAGCAGTAACCTGCCGACCGGACCTATCTTACAGCGCGAGCCAACTGGCGACGCATCTGAAGCAGCCGGAACAAGAAGATCTCGAGGAACTAAATCAGGCACTACTCTACTTCGTCTCTATGCCGACGACCGGACTTACCAACAGTAAAGCAACGACATCGTCCGTACTACTACTCGGATACGTCGACGCCGACCACGCGGGAGACAGGGAAAATCGACGCTCAAGGACGGGCTACATCTACCGACTAGAGCCTATCGGGACTATCTCCTGGCAGTCGAGCAAACAGGAACTAATCGCACTATCTTCGGCTGAAGCAGAATATATCGCCCTCTGCACTGCGACCAAGGAAGGACTTTACCTGCGAGAGTTACTCGAGGAAGCAAAGATTGCAACCCTGCCCGCCTTCTCACTCATCTGCGACAACCAATCTGCGATAAAAAACGCGAACAAGGACGGCTTCACCAACCGAACCAAGCACATCGCCCTGCGGTGTTTCTTCGTCAAAGATGAAATCGCGAAAGGGAGACTTCAACTCAGTTACTGCCCCACGACAGAAATGGCTGCAGACTACGTGACAAAGAAACTGGCGAAAGCAAAGTTCGATTACTGCATGCTACAGACCGGGCAGATAAACGTTACCAAATCCGGACATGGCAACACTCGAGAAACGAAGGGGAGTGTTGGAAATATCTCGAGGACTTAAGCGTTTCTGAAGTGTAATACCACACTCGAGGAAGATCGTAACGGGTACGCGAGTCAACGGAGGCTACACGAGGGGATAGACAAAGAACACGAAAGGACTCGAAGGGTCGCAATCGGAGGTTGCGACTGACCGTTACAACTGCAAGGATGGTAACCGAAGCGAGAATCGAGTCGCTGTGCGACTGGATAACCGCTCTTCAACTGTATTCTACAACTGCTTTACTTTCCTACTTTCTATATATTGTTGTATGCTTGTTCTTTTAATCAATCACTTGTTCTCATATACTAGTACAAGGGTTCAACTACTCAACTTCCGCTGCACTACTCAAAGTCTCCTTTTACAACTGGGACTTAATCTCTGGAAAGATCCTAAGGGCATTTTTCAGCCCAACAGTGTCTTATGGAGTACAACCCATTAGGTTATATTCCCTTGTATGCCCTGTTCTAGACACTCTTTCACTTGAACATGGTATCATGAGTAGGTAGGTCCCCCCCCCCCCCCCCCCCCCCCCCCTAGCGCTTCCGCCCTAGGTCCTAGCCGCCTCGTCGCCCCGCGGCCACGTCCCCTAGCGGCCCCGCGGCCCCGTCCCCTAGCGGCCCCGCGCCCCCATCCCCTAGCAGCACCGTGGCCCCGTCCCTAGCGGCCCCGCGGCCCCGTCCCCTAGCGGCCCCGTGGCCAAAGCGTTCTGCCTGGACGTCCGAGATACCCTGTTGGAGGAAGAAGAGAGGGATGCCTCGGAAAGGGTGCGCCGCGATGCGGAAGGGGGGGTGGTGAAGCTACTCGATCCGACGGAGCAGTTCTTGGCAGAACTACAGATCCACTTCCCTACCCAGACGCCGGCAAGACTAAGAGATTGTCACAGGATTGAATGTGTCGAGGAAAGATTGCACTATCGATGAATACAAGGCGCTTTTATACTTACAGAATACATCACGTAACCACGTTTATCCTATCCAAAGGAATAGACCCTTCTAGAAAATAGAATCACCCTGAGTATAGCCACGCGAGGCTACTGGCTTTAAGGGATTACGGCAGGATTACGCTGGATATAGCGTGCCAGTACATCCCGAGCCTAGTCGGTGATATAATTATAATAACAGAATAAACCAAAGGATAAAGGAAAATGGATAATAGGAAACCAAATGAGATGGGATAAAAAGAGAAGTGAAATAGAAAGGAAGTAGGAAAAGAGACAAGTGGTGTAACGGGATCGTACTCTCACACTTCCCCCCCTCAAAGCTGGGTGGTAGCAGTAACACCCTGCTTGACAAGGTAGTCATGCAGAGGACAACGGGCGTTACCCATGTCGGTCTTAGGTACCCAACTGTCCTCAGAAGGATCATAACCTTTCCAACGAATAAGAAGCTCTACGGTGCCATTCCGATGACGGCGGTGTGCAAGCACGGACTCGACCTCGTACTCGGGTTCATTCTGGACGAGGACGGGCGGCGGCGGCGGCGGTTGGCCTCCAACAAAGATTGTGTTTGGATCCTGATAGGGCTTCAGAAATTGGACATGGAAGGCGTTGTGAATCTTCCAAGTAACTGGTAGGCATAAGCAGAAGGTAACAGGAGTGACTTGTGCTTCAACGAGGAAAGGCCCGCAGAAGTGAGGTCGAAGTTTAGATGGGAGATGGCTAATGTTAGGGTTGCGGGTGTCGAGGAGCACCTGGTCTCCCATGGTGATGGTGTGGTCGTTGCGATGGCGACCGGCCTGGCGCTTCTGTTGCTGTTGAATTTCAAGGAGGCGCTTGTGGGTCCGATCCCAAAGCTGAGGCATGGTTGTGATGAAATCGTGTGCAGGTTGGACTGTAGCTGATGCTGTCGCTTTCTGTGGTGTGAGTGGGTGGCGTCCGTAGCAGAGGAAGAACGGCGTCTGTCCAGTAGCGGCATTTGTAGCGTTGTTGTAAGCAAACTCTAGAACGGGCAGGTGCAAGTCCCATTTAGAGATCTCGTCCTTGCAGGCTGCTCGGAGGAGTTGCTCGACAATCTGGTTGAGGCGCTCGGTCTGTCCGTCTGTCTGCGGACGGCAGGCGAATGACATGGCGATTTTGGTCCCGAGTAGAGACATGAGTCCTTTCCAAAACTTGCTGGTGAACTTGGGGTCTCGGTCGGAGATGCGTGTGGTTTGAATGCCATGCTGTGAGATGATGTAACGAACGAAGAGTTGTACTGTCTCCTTGGTGAGTGCTGTCGTGTGTGTCGGGATGAAGTGTCCCATTTTGGAGAACTTGTCGATGACGACGAGGATTGCGTCATGACCGCTGGTGGTAGGTGGTAACCCGGTGATGAAGTCCAGGCTAACCACATGCCATGGCTGTTCTGGGACAGGAAGAGGCTGCAGCAGTCCCGCTTTCCTCTGTTTGCTGCTCTTCATCCTCTGACATGTATCACACGAGGTGACAAATTTATGAACATCCTCTGCCAAGTGGGGCCAGTAATAGTGTTTTGCAATACCGGTCAGCGTCTTGTTGCTACCGAAGTGTCCGGCGTAGAGGACGTCGTGGTATTCTTCGAGTAGTAACTGGCGCAAAGGAGGGTAATTGGGTACCCAGATTTTTGTTGATCCTTTCTGGTACGCGATGTCACTGTCCCACTGTAGCAGGTGTCGCTTTTCAGCCAAGGAAATTTCGGGGTCGATGGCGTACCCGTGTGTGAAGAGCCCCTTGAGGAGTGGATTCATCCCTTCAATCTAAATAGCGGCAACGTGTGCAGGCCGGCTGAGGGCGTCTGCTTTGTTTTTGTGTCCGGGTTTGTACACGATGTCGTAGTGGAAGTGTGTCTCGAGGAAGTCGATCCACCGGACCTGCTGCTTGGAAAGGTTGGGTTGTGTCTTCAAATATTTCAGCCTGCAGTGGTCGGTGTAGACGGTTGTTCTTCGTCCTTCGAGATAACATCTCCATGCTTTGAAGGCGATGACAATGGCAAGGGCCTCATTGTCGTGTATCGGGTAGTTTAGTTCTGCCCCATGTAGTTTTTTACTGAGATAGGCGATTGGTTGCAATCCATTCCCCTGGTCTTGCATCTAGACTGCTCCCACTGCGTGGTCACTGGCATCAGCTTCGATGACGTAGTCGCATACGGGGTCTGGCAAAAAGAGTACGGGTGCGGACGTAAGTGCTCCACCGCTTCCTGGTGCTTCGACTCCCATTTGTAGGGCGTGTTCTTCTTCAGCAGATTCGTGGGTGGTGCTGCGAGTTTTGCATACTGTGGCACGAACCTCTTGTAGTAATTAGCGAAGCCTAGGAACTGCTGCAACTCCTTCACATTCTCGAGTGTCTTCCACGTACGTATGGCTTCGATTTTCTTTGGGTCGACGTGAACTCCTTGAACGCTCACCATGTGTCCTAGGAACTGGACCTTCTCAAGGGCGAATTCGCTCTTGGACAGTTTGACGTAGAATCGTTCTCGTCGAAGAATTTCGAAGACGCGTCGCAGGTGCTCGACGTGCTGCTTCATGTCGCGCGAGTAGATGAGGATGTCGTCCAGGTACACCACCTCGCACTCGTCCAAAAGTGGTCGTAGAATGTGGTTCATTTCGGCTTGGAATGTTGCCGGTGCGTTGGTGAGTCCGAATGGCATTACCCAATACTCGTACGATCCATACCGACTTCGGAAAGCAGTTTTGTGGATAGAGTTGTCTGCCATCCGTATCTGCCAGTATCCGGACCGCAGATCCAATTTGGAAAATATCGTAGCTCCCCGAAGCTGGTCAAGCAGGACATCGATTCGTGGTATCAGATATTTATTCTTGATGGTCTGCTTGTTAAGAGCTCGGTAATCGATGCACATGCGCAAGCTTCCGTCCGGTTTCCGTGTGAAGGGCACTGGGGCACCGTATGGTGAAGTGGATGGTCGGATGAGCCCTTTGGCGAGGATATACTCAATCTGTTTGTTCATGTCGGTCAGTTCCGTAGGGCTGAGCCGGTATGGTGCTCGGAAGGTCGGCTTCGAACCTGGTTCCTCCACGATCTCGTGTTGATGCGTTCGGTACGGCGGGAGCCCGTTCGGAAGATCGTCAGGAAGAATGTCTTGGAACTCTCTCAGCAAATCCTTGATTTTTTCCGGAGGTTCCGAGGTCTTCTCTCCGTCGTTCTCCTCCTCTGTTGCTATCGCCAGGAACCCGGTGTCGGTTCGCTTCACGTCCTTCTCGAATCATGCGAGTGTCTCCACTGGGATATCTCTTGTATTGTCCCAGTTGGGTAGTTGTACTCTCCTTCCATTGTTGTAGATGCTTGCGGTGCGGTTCACCCAGTTGATCTCGGGGTTGAATCTTTTCAGGAAGTCTTGCCCGAAGATTAAGTCAAGCCCTTTGATGTTGGTGATGGGGAGTGCAGGTCTCCAGCGCAGTGGTCCAATTTGTAGGTGTAGCACTGCTTCGCCTTGTACTGGTAACTTGCTGCAATCCACCATCGTTGCAGAGAATCCTGAAGGCTTGTACTCTTCCCGAAGTCGGTCGATTACTGCCTTGTCGCAGACGGTGTGCGATGCTCCACTGTCCACGAGTGCTTGGAGGCATCGTCCTTTACAGATGACCTCGAGCACGAGGGGCAGGCGTTGCTCGGAGTACCCAAAGGTAGTTTCATTGATTGGGTCATAGGGTACATCCCAATATTCCGTACACACCTTTTCGTTGCTATCTACTCCTGGGCTGGCAGCTGGCCGAGGCTGCTTGGAGAACGGCTCTTCTCCAAGGCCCGGAGTTTCCTTGACGACCGTGTGCGTCGTTGATGCCGAAGTTGCTGAAATGGATGTATCCAGAGGAGGAGTTCGGGGTTTCTGCAGCTTCTTGTAGACCCCCAGCTTCCTCTTGAGCTGCTTCAGCTCCACTGACGTCTTCCCTGGGGAACGGGTAGTCGTTGTGGGTTGGTGTCGGGAGAGGACGTTGACTCCGTGGAAAGGTCGGCTTCTTTCCACACTCCTTCATTTTTTCCCCAAGTTGTCCGGTACCGGTATAATCTCCACAGCTGTCTGCTTCTTTTGGAGTCCCTCCCGAAATTTCTCCAAGGCTCTAGCCCCTCGAGAATTACAAGTTTTCATTAAAGCATCTTTATAAGATAACTTTAACGAATCCTTATAATTTCTTGGGTCTTCAAGGAGTTTCCCCGTCTCGGCAGAGTCTTTTTTCGCGGAATCGTATTTTTTCGCGGCGATTTTCCCTGGCAAAGACTGGTCGTGGGGTGGAGATTTTCCCCCATCATTCCCTCTTTCTCGCGTCGAATCAGCTTCGTCAAAGTTGATTTTCCCGGAATCCCGCGGCCGCTTCCGGATCTTTTTATTTTCGCCAGCTAGATCCGCAATCACTGGCGACTCCCGTTTTTTGTCTTCTGATTGGCCGAAGGATTTCCGCCACTGTTGCGTGCCCGATACTCTGCGCGTGCGGCTTTCATTTTATTGCAGTCAAAAGGCAGGTTTTCCCGCTGCTGCTGCTTTGTTGAGCGCGGCTTAGCGAGAAAGGCTCTGATACCAAGTGTCATATGATCGAATGACTCGAGGAAAGATTGCACTATCGATCAGTACAAGGTGTTTTTATACTTCCAGAGTACATCAGGTAACCAGGTTTATCTTATCCTAAGGGAATAGACCCTTCTAGAAGATAGAATCACCCTGCGTATAGCCACGCGAGGCTATTGGCTGTAAGGGATTACGGCAAGATTACGCTAGATAGAGCGCACGAATACATCCCAAGCCTGGTCGGTGATATAATTATAATAGCAGGATAAACCAAAGGTTAATGGAAAAGGGAGAAGAGGAAACCAAATGAGATGAGATAAAAAGAGAAATGAAATAGGAACGAAATAAGGAAAGGCCAAGTGGTGTAACGGGGTCGTACTCTCACAGCGCTGCCTGCAGTGAGGCTCAGCTTAGTGTGTTTCAGCCCCCCATCTACTCTACCCTCTACCTGCTTGCCACCCGCCTCCCTGACCGCCTTGCCACCCCCCGCGATCACTCCCTTAGTCTCCGCCCCGCTGACCTCACCCTCATTGACTTTGTCGACACCCTGTCTGCCGTAGAGACCCGTCAACGCTCTATCGCCCAGTCTAGCGGTACCGTGCCAGTCTCTATCTTTCAGGGCTATGCCCCTGCTCAGTGCTCTTACTCTGATGGTTCTGCTGCAATTGTTGAGACAGCTCCGGCTATGGAGACAGCTGCCGCAGTGCAGTTTCGTCCGGGTAAGGGTCGCCGCCCCAAGGCTGGCCGCGGCAGAGGTAGCGGAGGAGGGGGTGGTGCCGGTGGTGGAGGTGGCTCGCCCGCTGGTAGTACTGACGAGGGGGCTGGGGCTGGTGCCTCGGAGCAGCAGCCCCAGCAGCAGCAGCAAGCTTCGCAGCTGGACCAGCAGCAGCAGCAGGCGCAACAGCAGCAGTAGCAGCAGCAGCAGCAGTGGAGGGTCGGCTGTCTCCCGCCCGAGTGGCCTGGAGCTAGAGGTGACGGTGGTCGCAGTGGTCGCTCGCGCGGCGTGTTTTCGAGTGGTAGTCAAAGTGACGGGCGTTGCTAGTACCAGCTCCATACCGGTCCTCGCCGCGGCCTCGTGTGCGGTAAGATCGGTCATACCCTCACTCGTTGCTTTCGTCGCCTAGACGACCTGTTTCGTCTTCGCTTCGGCCCGTCGCCTGACCTCCCTGACTGGCACAATCTGCTCCGTCCTCGTGTTCAGATCTTTGATATGGACATGGATGAAATTAGCTCTGCTTTGTATGCGCTGTATATAGATGATTCTAATGTGACTGGTTCCTATTACCCTGTGTTGCCTAGCATAGGTGTGCCCAATGCGCCTAGTTCAGGCTCCCCTGTTGCGTCAGGCGTAGGATGACCAGCCTTGTTTAGCCAAGGGTCCTCCCTCGCTCCTCCGACCTTTGTCGCCGCTGCGCTCTCCTTCACTCTGGACTCCGGCGCTTCGCGGTGTTTCTTTTGCGACTCCACGACGCTTACGCCGCTTGCCGCTCCTACTGCAGTTGTTCTTGCAGACCCTTCCTCCGGTCCTGTAGTTGCCCGTAGCTCCACTACTCTCCCCTGTCCGGCGGTTCCCTCAGGCTCCCTTACAGGCCTGCACATCCCCTCGTTCTCTAGGAACTGAGTTGGTGTCGACTGCCTCCATGACCTTGGCGTCACCACTACGTTCCCTGGGCACGAGCGGTTCGCTGTCTGTATTGAGGCCGCCACTAGTGCCCCCCTCACCACGTTCCCCTGGGACTAGGTGTCTGGCCTGTTCACGCTGGACACTGCTTCCCCCACGGTTGGGACGCCTCCCCAGGTACCTGCGTCTTCCCAGGTTGCCGCAGCGTGCTTGTGTCGGTCGTTTACTCACCCGTCACTTCTGTGCCACCACCGTCTAGGTCACCCCGCCCTTACCCGTCTCCGTCACATGTCCCAGCACCGTCTTGTCCTAGGCCTCCTTAAGTCGTTCCCTGCGCTCCCCTCCTCACACACGCCTCCGTGCACGCCCTGTGTTGAGGGTTGACTCCGCCGTGCCCCTCACTCCTCCTCGTTCCCCCCTACCTTCGCACCGCTGCAGACCCTGCACATGGACGTATGGGGCCCCGCCCCCGTCCATGGGCCGCGCCGCGAGCGCTACTTCCTAGTGCTTGTCGACGAATACACCTGCTACACCACCGTCCTTCCCCTCGAGCGGAAGGCCGACGTGCCTGATGTTCTTCTCTTGAAGCTTGTCTCTACACGTGTTCACCGAAGTCTCCCCGTCTTGCGTCTTCACTCCGACCGTGATGGCGAGTTCACCTCTGGCTGCCTTGGTCGCTTCTGTCGTGCGGAGGGCATCATCCAGACGTTCATCTTGCCGGACTCGCCATAGCAGAATGGGGTCGCTGAGCGACGCATCGATTTGGTCATGGAGGTGGCTCGTACCTCCATGATCCATGCCCGTGCACCCCACTTTCTGTGGCCGTTCGCTGTTCGCTACGCCACTCACCAGCTTAACCTCTGGCCGCACCCTCAGCGGTCGCAGGTTTTGCCGACCCTCCTCTGGACCGGGTCCCCTGGTGACGTGTCTGCGTTCCACGTTTGGGGCTGCCTTGCACACGTTCGTTGTCACAGGATCGAATGACTCGAGGAAAGATTGCACTATCGATCAGTACAAGGCACTTTTATACTTCTAGAGTACATCAGGTAACCAGGTTTATCTTATCCTAAGAGAATAGACCCTTCTAGAAAATAGAATCACCCTGCGTATAGCCACGCAAGACTATTGGCTTTAGGGGATTAAGGCAGGATTACGCTAGATATAGCGCACCAGTACATCCCAAGCCTGGTCGGTGATATAATTATAATAGCAGGATAAACCAAAGGTAAATGGGAAAGAGAAAAGAGGAAACCAAATGAGATGGGATAAAGAGAGAAATGAAATAGAAAGGAAATAAGAAAAGGCCAAGTGGTGTAACGGGGTCGTACTCTCACACTTCCCCCCCTCAAAGCTGGGTGGTAGAAGTAACACCCTGCTTGACAAGGTAGTCATGCAGAGGACGACGGGCGTTACCCATGTCGGACTCAGGTACCCATCTGTCCTCAGAAGGATCATAACCCTTCCAACGGATGAGAAGCTCCACGGTGCCATTTCGACGACGGCGGTGTGCAAGCACGGACTCGACCTCGTACTCGGGTTCATTCTGGACGAGGACGGGCGGTGGCGGCGGCGGTTGGCGTCCGACGAAGATCGTGTTCGGATCCCGATAGGGCTTCAGAAGTTGGACATGGAAGGCGTTGTGAATCTTCCAGGTAGCTGGTAGGCGTAAGCGGAAGGTAACTGGAGTAACCTGTGCTTCAACGAGAAAAGGCCCGCAGAAGCAAGGTCGAAGTTTAGATGGGAGGTGGCTGATGTCCAGGTTGCGGGTGTCAAGAAGCACCTGGTCTCCCACCGTGATGGTGTGGTCGTTGCGATGGCGATCGGCCTGGCGCTTCTGTTGCTGTTGAATGTCGAGGAGGCGCTTGTGGGTCCGATCCCAAAGTTGGTGCATGGTGGTGATGAAATCATGTGCAAGTTGGACCGTAGCGGATGTTGGCAGTTTTTGTGGTGTGAGTGGGTGGCGTCCGTAGCAGAGGAAGAACGGCGTCTGTCCAGTAGCGGCATGTGTAGCATTATTGTAAGCAAACTCTAGTACGGGCAGGTGCAAGTCCCATTTGGAGATCTCGTCTTTGCAGGCTGCTCGGAGGAGTTGCTCGACAATCTGGTTGAGGCGCTCGGTCTGTCCGTCTGTCTGCGGATGGTAAGCGGATGACATGGCGAGTTTGGTCCCAAGTAGAGACATAAGTTCCTTCCAAAACTTGCTGGTGAACTTGGAGTCTCGGTCGGAGATAAGTGTGGTTGGAATGCCATGCTGTGAGATGATGTATCGAACGAATAGTTGTGCTGTCTCCTCGGTGTCGTGCTGTCGTGTGTGTCGGGATGAAGTGTCCCATTTTGGAGAACTTGTCGATGACGACAAGGATTGCGTCATGACCGCTGGTGGTAGGTGGTAACCCGGTGATGAAGTCCAGGCTAACCACATGCCATGGCTGTTCTGGGACAGGAAGAGGCTGCAGTAGTCCCGCCTTTTTCTGCTTGCTGCTCTTCATCCGCTGACATGTATCACACGAGGTGACAAACTTCTGAACACCTTCTGCCAAGTGGGGCCAGTAGTAGTGCTTTGCGATATCGGTCAGCGTCTTGTTGCTACCGAAGTGTCCGGCGTAGAGGACGTCGTGGTATTCTTCGAGTAGTAACTGGCGCAAAGGAGGGTAATTTGATACCCAGATCTTCATTGATCCTTTCCGGTACGCGATGTCGTTATCCCATTGTAGTAGATGTCGCTTTTCTGCTAAGGGAATTTTGGGGTCGGTGGCGTACCCGTGTGTGAAGAGTCCCCTGAATAGTGGATTCATCCCTTCGATCTGAATAGCAGCAACGTGTGCAGGCCGGCTGAGAGCGTCTGCTTTGTTTTTGTGGCCAGGCTTGTACACGATGTCGTAGTGGAAGTCTGTCTCGAGGAAGTCGATCCACCGGACCTGCCGCCTGGAAAGGTTGGGTTGTGTCTTCAAGTATTTCAGGCTGCAGTGGTCGGTGTAGACGGTTGTTCTTCGTCCTTCGAGATAACGTCTCCACGCTTTGTAGGCGATGATGATGGCAAGGGCCTCATTGTCGTGTATCGGGTAGTTGAGTTCTGCCCCGTGTAGTTTCTTACTCAGGTAAGCGATTGGTTGCAATCCATTCCCTTGGTCTTGCATTAAGACTGCTCCCACTGCCTGGTCGCTGGAGTGAGCTTCGATGACGTAGTCGCGTTCGGGATCTGGCAAGATGAGTACTGGTGCGGACGTAAGTGCTTGCTTCAGCTGCTCCATGGCTTCTTGGTGCTTTGGCTCCCATTTGTAGGGTGTGTTCTTTTTCAGCAGATTCGTGAGTGGCGCTGCGATTTTCGCATACTGTGGCACGAACCTGTTGTAGTAATTGGCGAAGCCTAGGAACTGCTGCAACTCCTTCACGTTCTCGAGTGTCTTCCACATATGTACGGCTTCGATTTTCTTGGGGTTGACGTGAACTCCTTGAGCGCTCACCAAGTGTCCTAGGAACTGGACCTTCTCAAGGGCGAATTCGCTCTTGGACAGTTTGACGTAGAATTGTTCTCGACGAAGAATTTCGAAGACGCGTCGCAGGTGTTTCACGTATTGCTTCATGTCGCGTGAGTAGATGAGGATGTCGTCCAGTTACAACACCACGCATTCGTCCAAAAGTGGTCGTAGTAGGTGGTTCATTTCGGCTTGGAACGTTGCCGGTGCGTTGGTGAGTCCGAACGGCATTACCATATACTCGTACGATCCGTACCGAGTTCGGAAAGCAGTTTTGTGGATAGAGTTGTCCGCCATCCGTATCTGCCAGTATCCGGATCGCAGATCCAGTTTGGAAAATACCGTAGCTCCCCAAAGCTGGTCAAGCAGGTCATCGATTCGCGGTATCGGAAATTTATTTTTGATGGTCTGCTTGTTAAGAGCTCGGTAGTCGAAGCACATGCGCAGGCTTCCGTCTAGTTTCGGTGTGAAGAGCACTGGGGCACCGTATGGCGAAGTAGATGTCGGATGAGTCCTTTGGCTAGGAGATACTCGATCTGTTTTTTCATGTCAGTCAGCTCCGTAGGACTGAGCCGATATGGTGCTCGGAAGGTCGGCTTCGAACCCGGTTCCTCCACGATCTCGTGTTGATGTGTGCGGTATGGCGGCAGCTCGTTCGGAAAATCGTCAGGAAGAATGTCTTGGAACTCCTTCAGCAATTCCTTGATTTTTTTCCAGAGGTTCCGAGGTCTTCTCTCCGTCGTTCTCCACCTCTGTTGCTATCGCCAGGATCCCGGTGTCGGTTCGCTTCATGTCCTTCTCGAATCGTGCGAGTGTCTCTACTGGGATATCTCCTGTATCGTCCCAGTTGGGTAGCTATACTCTCCGTCCATTGTTGTAGATACTTGCAGTGCGGTTCACCCAGTTGATCTCGGGGTTGAATCTTTTTAGGAAGTCTCGCCCGAAGATCAAGTCAAGGCCTTTAATGTTGGTGATGGGGGGTGCAGGTCTCCAGCGCAGTGGTCCAATTTGTAGGTGTAACACTGCTTCGCCATGTACTGGTAACTTGCTTCCATCCACCATTGTTGCAGAGAATCTTGAAGGCTTGTACTCTTCCCGCAGTCGGTCGATTACTGCCTTGTCGCAGACGGTGTGTGATGCTCTGCTGTCCACGAGTGCTTGGAGGCGTCGTCCTTTGCAGATGACCTCGAGCACGAGGGGCAGGCGTTCCTTGGAGTACCCAAAAATAGTTTCATTGATTGGGTCATAGGGTACATCCCAATATTCCGTACACACTTGTGTGTTGCTATCTACTCCTGAGCTGGCAGCTGGCCGAGACTTCCCGAATTTTCTCCAAGGCGCTAGCCCCTCGAAAATCATAAGTTTTCATTAAAGCATCCTTATAAGATAACTTTAATTTCTTACATCTTTAACGAATCCTTATAATTTCTTGGGTCTTCAAGGAGTTTCCCCGTCTCGGCTGAGTCTTTTTTCGCGGAGTCGTATTTTTCCTCGGCGATTTTCCCTGGCGAAGACTGGTCGTGGGGTGGAGATTTTTCCCCATCATTTCCTCCTTCTCGCGTCGAATCAGCTTTGTCGAAGTTGATTTTCCCGGAATCCCGCGGCCGCTTCCGGATCTTTTTATTTTCGCCAGCTAGATCCGCAATCACTGGGGACTCCCGTTTTTTGGCTTCTGATTGGCCGAAGGATTTCCGCCACTGTTGCGTGCCCGATACTCTGCGCGTGTGGCCTTCATTTTGTTGCAGTCGAAGATTCGATGACCCGGCACCCCGCAAAAATCACACGTGTAGTTGGTGTTTTTCGGACGTGGCCGCCCTTCGAACCTGTCGACTTCCATCAGGTCGGCGAACGTGGGGTGAGCCGAGCGGTCGCCCTGTCGCGTACTGCCGACGTTCGTCCGTCGTGTCCCGGCGTTGACCATGTCGAAGCGCTCCGCTGCCGAAACAACGTCACTGTAGTTTGCGTAGTTTGACGCTGCTACCTGTCGTTTCACTTCGGTCTTCAGCCCGGCGAGGTACGACTGTACTTTTTCCCCTTCTGTCAGGTCGGGAATTCGGTTATAAAATTCCTCCATCTGCTGCGTGTACTGCGCTACACTCCCGAACTGTCGGTGTCGATGAATTTTTTCCCGGGCAAGGAAACTGGAATTTATCGGCTCGAAGCGTTTCAACAGGTCGGCGCGGAACTGCTGCCACGTGGCTTCACCGTGGATGAAGGTATTGTTGCCGCCAATCTAGTCGAGTTCCGGCCCTCGCATCAGTGTCTCCGCGAATCGTACACGTTGTCCGTCCCAGACTGGCGAGCTCCATCCGACGGCTGCGAAGTAGATCTCCATCCCGGCGATCCATCTGCGGGCGTCGGAGATTCGATCGCTCGGATCGAACGGCTCAGGTGGGCGCGGTTTCGGAGCCTCGAGAAACTGCTGCGACTGCTGCGTCGTCGCCGTTGTCGTTTCGTGTTGCGCTCCGGCGAGTCGAGTTACTCGCTCGAACTCGTTTCGCCACGCTTCGCGATCCGCTCGCATTTCCTCATGAAGGGTTGCGATGCGCGCGAAGAGCTGCTGTGTAACCTCGGCGTTGTCGAAGGTTGCCATCTTGTTCAAAACACGCACGGAGCGGGTAATTCGAAAATCGCGGAGCTGGTGCTTACCAGAATCGGCGTCGAATTGGTCGCCCACGGCGGTTTTTCGAGGCAGGTTTTCCCGCTGCTGCTGCTTTGTTGAGCGCGGCCGAGTGAGAAAAGCTCTGATTACCAAGTGTCACAGGATCGAATGACTCGAGGAAAGATTGCACTATCGATCAGTACAAGGCGCTTTTATACTTCCAGAGTACATCAGCTAACCAGGTTTATCTTATCCTAGGGGAATAGACCCTTTTAGAAAATAGAATCACCCTGCGTATAGCCACGCGAGACTATTGGCTTTAAGGGATTACGGCAGGATTACGCTAGATATAGCGCACCAGTACATCCCAAGCCTGGTCGGTGATATAATTATAATAGCGGGATAAACCAAACGTAAATGGGAAAGAGAAAAGAGGAAACCAAATGAGATGGGATAGAGAGAGAAATGAAAAAGAAAGGAAATAAGAAAAGGCCAAGTGGTGTAACGGGGTCGTACTCTCACATTCGTGCCTCTGGCACGGACAAGCTCACTGCCCGCACTGTCCCCTGTGTCTTCCTAGGTTTCCCCCGCCACTCGTCGGACTGGCAGTTCTACCACCCGCCTTCTCACCAGTTCTTTCACTCTCGTGACGACACTTTTGACGAGTCCGTCTCCTCCTACCACCGCTTTCCCCAGGGTGGTCCCTCGATCACCCCCCCCAAGTTCCTGGTGCCCCCCCCTCCCCCGGTCGACCCTGTCCACCCCCCTCCCCACCCTGCCCCGTCTGGTGTGTCTCACGTCACCCCCTTCCTGTCGGTTGTCCCTGCTGAGGAGTCCGCTGACACTCGCGGCTCGGCGGAGTCTCTTCCCCCGCCTGTCCTTGCCCCGGTCTCGCCTCCCCTGTCGCCGCCGCTGTTGTCCCTGCCGCAGGCGCCTCCGCCGTTGCCGCCGCAGCCGCAGCCGCAGTCTTCACCGCCGCTGGGGGGTGCTGGGGAGCGGGTTGGAGCTGGTTCTGGAGCGGGCTCTGGGGGTGCTGGCGTGGGGCTTCTAGGAGGGAGCCGTGTTATCGCTGGAGGTTCTGGTGTTGGAGTTAGGCACCAGTCGCAGCTGTCGCCGCCGGTGTCCGCTCTTCCCCTGACCGCCTGACGCTGCCTCCCCCGCTGCCGCCGCCTCCTCCTCTGCCGGTCCACGGCCCCGTGTTTCCTCCCCCAGACTCCTCTCTGGCTCGTTTCCCCCCCCCGTTCTCCTCCTGTGTCTCCTCCCCTCTCTCCTGACCCGACTCCTCCGTCTCACGTCTGATCTCATCGTCCGTCTCGTGCTCCTCCTACATCCCCTGTTTCGCGTTCTCACCCTATGTTCCTGTGCTCTCACGCGTCTTGTGCTCTTCCTCTCCTTCCGTCTCCTCCTCCGTTGTCGCTTGCTGTGGCCGCGTCTCCGTTCTCAAACTTCCTCCGTGCTGCGCGTCCCCTTGTTCCTCGTGTCCCCTTACGCCTCTCTTGTTACCGACCTGTCCGTTCGTGTCTCGAGTCTGTCGGCTCTTGTCGCTGCTGTCACTAACTTTGCCGCTACCCACCGCCTTGACTACGCTACCGCTCTGGTCTCTGATCCTGCCTGCCCTCTGACCGTCGGGAGTGTGGTTGCTCTTGCTAGTGACGTCCTTGAAGACAGGCAGTTCGAGCTCGCTTTCTTGTCTGAGGCCGCTCCCCATCTCTGTTCCATGCTGCTAGTCCCTGAGGGTGACCCAGATGCCCTCGACATCCCGACCCCTCGCACCTACGCTGAGGCCACCTCGGAACCCTGGGCTTCTCAGTGGATAGCTGCCATGGAACAAGTGATGGCATCTTGGAGATCCACCGGTACCTTCGTCGACGCAGTTCCCCCACCTGGGGTGAACGTAGTCGATGGCCGGTGGCACTTCAAGGCGAAGTGCCCTCCTGGAGAGCCACGTGTCTTCAAGGCGTGCTACGTAGCTCGAGCCTTCAGTCAGCGTGAGGGGGTGGACTTCTTTCAGACCTTAGCCGCGACCCCAAAAGATGACCGCTCTTCGGGCGCTGCTACACGTAGTTGCATAGCGTGACTACGAGCTCCACTCCCTCGACTTCTCCATAGCTTTCCACCACGGCAGTCTATACGAGCAGGACTACCTGAGCCGCCCCCAGGGCTTCTCAGGTACCTTCCCTCCTGACACCGACTAACCCCGTTTATGGCTTGCAACAGGCGCCCCGTGAGTGGCACGACACGCTGCGTGCTACACTTGCTGACTTGCAGTTCTTCCCTTTGTCTGCAGACCCCTCGCTCTTTGTCCGTTCCGGCTAGACTTCGTTCTACATCCTTGTCTACGTAGACGATCTGGTCTATGCAACAGCAGACAGAGACGCACTGGCCGCCGTGAAGGCCAAGCTGCTGAGGAGACACACCTGCACTGACCAAGGAGAGCTGTGCCGCTACCTTGGCTTGCAGATCTCCAGGGACAGAGCAGCGCGCTCAGTCACTCTCTCACATTCACACTTGC